GGGGGGTGGGGTGGGGGGACACATCATTCAGGGATTGGAATGGACAAAGCGGGCGCCCTGACACGGGGAACGGGCCTGTTTAAACGCTTTGATGCGATCCAGCATCCATCCGGACCTGCACTGGCGGTCGCCCTCACGAGGCTGGTGGCGGCCCAAGCGAATCGAGTAGCCGAGGCGACACTCTGTGCCCGTGTGTTGAAATTGCATGCATCTGCTGTCGTTGATGCAGGCTTTGCGGCAGTTGTCGAATGATTTGGATGCTTTTTTACTGGGTTTGTACGTCACGTCTTCGGAGAGGTTGGACCAGTCTTCGGATTCGCGGCGGAGGTGGGATTCAATCATTGTGAAGAGTTCTTCGAACATGAGGGGTCGTTCCGGGTGCGAGCGCGCCTTTTCCCATTGGGAGAGCGAGGTGAAGTCTTCTTCGTTAAGGTGGTGCATGGTCATGATTGCTTCGCACCACTGTTCATTGTCAAAGCGCATGGTGATTGGCTTTTCGCCATTGAACATGGGCCAGTATCCTCGAAGGGAGACGCCGCTCTTCTTCAGGACCTGGGCTAGAATTTCATCACCGCAGCACTGCTTCTGTACGTCGACACCGAAGAAGTGCGTGCCTGGAAAATGCTTGTTCTCGCCAAACATGCGGCCGAGTGCCATGATCTTGTCCAGTGCTGCACGCGACAGCACAAAGCCACTGCCGCCGTGGGCAAAAATGGCCTTCTTCTTCGGCCAGACGGGGGATCCAAAGTAGTAGGCGGTGCGTGGATTGAAGTTGGACAGAAAACGGTATAGATTGTCGTAGTTGACGTAGGTGTCGAGCTCGAGGAAGACGTACCAGTGCGACTGGGGCCGCAGGTACGAGGTCCACTCCATCATGGGCAGGAACTTGTACTTGTCGAGCCGCCAGCCATCGGGCGACTTGTCGGTAGTCAGGTTGACGGACTGGATGTAGTCGTAGACGTCGAAGTCGGCGTTGTTGAACCTGTACTCGGGGCGCAGGTGGGCGAGGGCGTCGGCTATGTCGAAGCCATTGTACGAGTCCTTGCGGTCGGAGAAGATGAGCAGATCCTGCTTGCAGCGGCCGAGGCGGTTGAGGTATTGGGGCAGCTTGGAGGCGACCTCGCCGGCGCCGATCTTGAGGACGATGGTCACGTCGTCCATGACGCCGGCGGTGAAGGGGGCGCATTCCTGGCCAAAGGGCACCACGACCTTAGAGACGGGCCCAGGTCCGGCGGGAGGGGGCCGGTCGACGAGCAGCTCGTAGCCGCGGTCGCCCCGCCAGAGCCGCGGCAGCAGAGTCGTCAGGAACAGGGTGCATAGCAGCAACGCGGCGCTCAGCAGGCGCCGCAGCGTCAATCGCACCCTCATGGTGGTCGTGGGTGCTTGCGATATGCCCGCACGCCCGCCATGTTTGGGGAGGCCCGGCCTGACGCGACCAAAAAGGACGCTAAGCAGCCTCCCATCCGGCTATCCGCCCGACGTCGTGCACTCGTCAAACCAACAGTCGCCCGCCTGTCTTTGGCATTCCTGCTCTGCCCCGCGCCTCGACATTTGCATTTGCCATGTTTAGACAACGGCCCTTTTCTTTTTTGATGTTTTTGCTTCTCGCCTCTCACATGGGATGGGCGGGTGCTGACGTCATGCCACGTGCCACAAAATAGTATGTCATGCCACGTGCCCAAAACACACGACCATCTCATGTCCCTGACCAGCATGCCCATCTTCATTTGCGTCTTGTGCATCTAGCTATGCGAGCACCACAATGTGTCTAGGCGGTTGTTTTGTGCATCGTGTGTTATACCAAGAGCCGCACCAGCGAGTCAAGGCCGCCACCATGACGACTACTCCACCCGTCCCCGCCTAACCATCGTATTCTCCCCCACAGGCACAAACCCCACGTGCATATACACCCGCCTCCCCATCTTGCTCGACTTGAGATACATGGGCATCGGCGGCTCCTCTGCGTCTGCCTGCTCAATCGCCCAGTCAAGCAGTCTCCTCGCAACTCCGCGGCCCTGGAAGTCGGGCCACGTGATGAGCAGCGCAAGAAACCAATGCGCCTCGCCCTTCATAATCTGCGCCCGCTCCTCGTCATCCTTAGCCTGCCCTTGGTGCCAACTGTCCGTCACACCCGACCACAACTCGTCGACCAGCGCGTCACTCCAGCCTAGGGACTCGTGCCAGTTGTAGAATGAGATGGCGCTGCGGCGAAAGGGGTCGTGGGCAATGTTCTTATCTGGGCGACCCCAGCACGCTGCACCGATGGCCTCGCCCGTCGAGGCGAGCACGGCTTTGATAAAGGTGTACTCTGAATGTGCGAGCACAGGAACAAGGCGTTTGGCTAGCCGCTCTATTCTTTCGGAATCTGGGCGACCCTGTGCGGCCGGCTCTTTCTTGTCCCAGGTTTCTGCAGAATAGCAGGCACGAAGTCCATGTGCCTGGCGAATAAGCTAAGTACGTGAAATGTATTCATCAAGTTTGTTCCGTCATTGTTTTCACAATGTTGCCCACTTACAAGCGTCATTGCATCGTCTACTGTGCATATTTCAATCTGGATATCACCATCTTTCAGGCGCCTTTCAGGCTCTACCGGTCTGGTCTGAGGGCCTTGTTGTTCAGCAGGTATAGTAACGGGGACTGTCTCGGTTTGCGCCATGGTTGCAACGAGTTCCTCAGAACTATGCAAAAAGATGACAGAACTGGTCTTTACAAGCAGTGGAGAGGTGGTCAGAGTTGTAGAAAAGGGCGTTGTTTTATCTAGGTAGTTGCCTGAATCCTGCGCCCCACATCAAGGAGTAGGTTATATCCAGCGCTACCACGAGTTTCCTGTACTGCACTTTGAACATTTCTCCGAACCATACATCACATCCAGGGGAATGCCGAGGCGGAATGAACTTGCAATCAACACAGTGTTGAACAGGTTTGTGGATGGAGTAAGGTACGCCGTCCAACGAAGTGGCTCCAAGTACGGCCTTGCTTGCACCTTCCAATCAAGGCCACTGCCAAGTCGACTTGGATGCCACTCGGAATCGGAACTGGATGACTAATGAGTTTCGGCATTCAGCTAACGCCGGTACAGTCCAGCAACCGAACACTATCCCATCTACCGAAAGTATGTAGGCGCAGTTGCCTTGCAAACCATCCACGCCTCATCCAACGCCTTGACAACATCGTCAGGCAGAGGCCCCTTCTCCAGATCCGCAAGATTGCCCTCCAGTTGCTTGAGACTACTGACGCCAATAATGACGCCGTCATTTCCACCTTTGACTCGTGTCTTGAGCTCAGAGTGATGAACACACCATCTCAGTGCAATCTCAAGCAGCGTCAGGTTATGTTTTTGAGCAGCTTCCTCTGCAATCCTAAGAGCCTCAAACGTCGCGTCTTTGAAGTAGCGATCGCGGTACATTGTGCCGATGCGGTCAGCCTTGGTCCCGAACCGGCCTTCGTCAGGCTTGATGTCTTTGGACTTGATCTTGCCGGAAAAGAGGCCACCAGCCAAAGGGTTGTAGATGACAATGTCGATGCCATACTTACGGCATGCGGGAATGAGCTCCGGCTCGATGGCGCGAGCTGAGTATTGTCAGCAGTGGCTGATGGGCTGAAAGGGGTGAGACTTACTAATAGCATTGTACATGGCCTGGTAGATGGTTGGCTTGACCCATCCTCGTTCCTTGCAGATGTTGTAGACTTCAGCAACCTCCCATGCTGCAAAGTTTGACAGGCCCAAGTTGACAAACTTGCCCTGTTTGTGCAACTCGTTGACTGCTTCGAGCGTCTCTTCAAACGGCACGCTGTGGTCGGGCGCATGGAGATAGAAGATATCCACGCAGTCGGCGCCAAGCTCTTGCAGACTAGTGGTGAAGTGTTTCTTCAGGTTCTCGGGCTTGTGAACGCCAGCCTCGAATGGGTAGACTTTAGTAGCAAGAGTAAGGCCGCGGTCTTTCCATGCAGCCTGGCGTGTCCATGCTTCTTGCTTGCCGCCCACATACATGCGCGCAGTATCGACTTCATTGTAGCCCTGGGCCTGGAAGTAATCCAAATGTTTGGTGAACTCATCGAACTCGGTGATACGCGCGCCGCTGCTCTCATCAGGACCTACTCAGTGTTACTAGCCGCACTTGAACCCCGCAGTGTCAAGGCGTACCAAAGGTCATCAACCCGAGGATGACCCGGTCTTTTGGATTCTGTGCGATCAGAGGCATTTGATTGTACTATGGGCTACGTGTCTGTGCAGATGTCGTGTGATGTTCAACGTCGGTGGAGGAACTATTGATATGGCGCATCGTCTGTTCGTGTCAACATGACGCCAGCGGGGTGGATAGTGGATACCCCACTCTGGAGTCGGGACTTTGTGTGTGTTGAGTCCCGACACGGTCATGCCTATTGTTCTTTTGCCGAATACTATTAGTTGGTATGAAGCGGCACCAAGATTTATTGCTTCAAGGGCACACTTGGAATCAAGCACAAAGTTTGTCCCACGCCACAGTGATACAGAGGCTGATGATGACCGCAGCGCACCCCTGCCAAGCCGTGCTACTACTTGTGTGCATTGCATACTACTACTCGACAAACTGCTACCTACCTACTTACTTACTTACTGTACGACTCAGACTCGTATCCAAATCTCCGCTCTCCGCAAACTGTTGGTGTTGGAAGCATGTAATCGAATACGGCTCTACCATGCACACACCATGTTAAGTACAGCCCCCGTCTCTGATTGCTGACCGCCCCCCTCTCGGCCCTGCTCGGCTTCTCCGATATCGTCCTTGTCTCAGTTGTCGTCCTGTTGGGACAGGCCGCAAGACGAATGACTCTCTGTTTGGCCCGAGAAGAGCGTGGGTGCACTGTAAGCGCCGCCTTGTTGTAGGCGATTCGGCGGCTTCTGGCTGCAATTGGCTGCCCGCCCTCGGGGCTACTATGGCTTGGTTCGAGCCGGCGGTGGCGGGCGTCATGGAGGCGCAGTTGTGTGATGAACGATGTCTGTGCTAGGCGTGTCAGAAGCAGGAACATGCACTCTCCCGCGGCCGTGCAGCCCCTGGAAAGCCGGCGATGATGGGACATGGCTGGAAGGTCGAGGTGAACGAGGCCCGTCTCGGACCAATGACGTCGGCCCCAACCCGATAACGATAAGGAACCCAGCAACCGTCCCTCTCGCGCGGTCAGGCGGCCGTCATCACCCATCAGCCCACTCGCACCAGCGAGCACCAGCATGCAGCTAGCATCGCCGTCACCCCCCTAGGTGCCACTAGGACTGTCGTCAGATCACCCAACTCTGCACCCAGGATCGTCCCGCAACCGTCCCGCCCTTCTTCTGTCCAGCACAGGTGCCACGTAGCAGCGACGCAGGTACGCCCAGAGACAGCACACGCTCGAGCAGTAGCTGCCACAAGAATCAATGCTGCACCATATAAGACGGCCTGTCAATCTCCATGCACCGTTTCCACTCTTCTACACTCCATTTCACAGCAGACTGCTGGCTGCAGCGCGCCGGAAAGATGAGTCGATCAGCTGGAGCCAGAGGTGTCATGTGGCCCAGTAAGCCACCCTTTGCTAACTTACGAATCACTCTGTCCGTCGCACACCATCAACCGAGCCCTCCGCTGATTGGAGCGCAAAACGACAATGCCAGGCACTGTGAATGAATCCTTTCTAGATTTAGCTTCAGGCCATGTGCTCTATTGGAATCCGGCCTCCATGTCACGAATGCGGTGCTCTTGCTCTCAGGCCAGACCCGGAACTCTCTTTGTCTCTACATGATATCATAGTCTCCAAGCCCGCCTTCTCTGTTCAATCATCCCATCCCCCCCTTTGCCTTGGAATGCTGAATCCTTTTATCTGTCCATTGGCTCGCCTTGTCTGCCCTGAGCGTAACACATTTGCACCCCTCTTTGTGCACATCTTGGCTCTGTCGGCTGTTCCGAACTTCGGCATCCTTATGCACGCTGCTGCCATTCTGTTGAGCCTTGATATTGGACTCAAATACCAGTCGCATAGCGATACAAGATCTGCGTCTTGGTCGCTATGTGCTGGTCATTCAACTTTGGCCTTCCGGCCAACAGGAAGCCCAAGACGTCGTCGTCATCCGGGGAAAAGAAGAGGCGGGACGCGCCGGCGGACAGCGCGCTTCGCGGTAATGGAAGGCCAATCGTTGAGCAATACTCAGAGAAGCGCAGCTCAAAGGACACTAGCAGGAAAAGAAGATCTGGAGACTCCACCCTGCCAGCGCAACGTTCCCCGCTCCGCGAAAAACATAGGGACAGCCACCCTCCCCAATCACAGCGTCAGTACGAGGATGCCTACCGGAGACGCGAGCACTACCGATCAGCCTTGAATGTAGAGGTACCACAGGAATACCGCCGCTCGTTCGAACCCGAAACTGTCAATTCGTCCCAAGAGACTCTGTTGAATCCACGACCTCACCGAAGTCAACACCATCGGCGACGGCACCCCACGCAATCATCACAAGGCACTCTGCGCGGGCGCGGAGCAAAGCGTGACCCTCCCAAGCATTCAAAGTCCAAGAAGAATATCCGACCTGAGCCTTCACGTGGCTGGTCTTTCTTTGCGACTTCTCCATCAAGGACACCAAAACGCGAACCTCGCAGTTACCAAACTCTTGAGTCTTCACCCCGTAGTCATCGTTCGTCACGCCACCACTACTCTTCCACTACCCTTCAGCCAAGCCCCGAGTCTTCACGCTCTCAGAACCGCCAGCACCGTTCCCGCCGGCACGAGCAATCAACAACGTCTTCGCGCCAAGCTCGTCCTCGCACGCCCAACACGACCGTCCGCCGTGTACCGGACAGACGCTTTGCCGTCCTTGCCGCCACAAACCAAGCGCTTGAAGAAGTTCGCCAAGAGGCTTTTGCGCAACCCTCTCCTCCCCCAAGGCGTGCGAGGTTGCATCGTTATGAAGGTGTTACTATACCCACTTCTCAGATTCCTTTCAACTGGGACTGCATGAGCACTTCGCAGACCTCGTCTGGACGCAGTCGTGGCAATGGCGAGTCGAGCAGTCGACCAAGGCGCTCACGTAGGTGAATGTCCATGTCATACAGACCATGCTAGGCATGGTTATTAGGTAGTGGTTGCGAGGTGGTTGGCTTTTGATTTGCTTTTCCCCTTATCTTGAGTTGCATACCTTTTTTGTAGCGAACCTTTGATTCTTGGCCTTTTCTTCTTTCTTTTCTGTTTCATCTATTCTTCCGCATTATGATTGTAGGATACCCCCTCACTTGCATAACTTGGTTGTTCTGGGCGTCGCATTGCATCATCACATCACACATGGCATTGTTTAGGAGTCAAGGCTTATCCTTTTTTTTTCACCTCCGTAGAGGAGAAACAATTTAATTACCCTTTTTTCTTTGGCACACGGTTGTTGTTTCCTTAAGCCTACCGTTTGTATTGCAGTTGAAACAAGACTTTGTATACGAATCCTGCCTGCATGGGTTACCTTGGTTGGTCACTTCGCCTGCCTCATTAAGACTTATGCCCGTGCGTTTGTATTGTGACACCAACAAAACTTGCTGTTACACTCCCGCCTACTGCTTACTCATCGTTTTCGAGTCTCAGATAGAGATGTTCAGGTCTGTTGTTCATGTCGACATGATTGTCATGACATCAATCTAGCTACATATATTTTCTTATTCTCAACTTTGACACAAAGCCTCACAACCAAAAAATAATCTACACGATTCATTGCTTCTACTAATCCAATATCTAATACCAATTCTGACCTCTACGCTGCCTACCCGCAGAAGAACTAGCATAAATACCTCGTTTCGCCGTTCTCGCCCCCCAAATCTACACGAACCAGCGAGATGCTGCTGCACACCCGCCAACACCCCCATCAACCACCTGTACTACATCCCCTCCAACCGCCTTTTCAACCGCAACCTTCACATTCGTCATTCCCGCACACCCCCAACGCTAGCGTATCCGCCCCCCCCCATCAGCCACAAGTTCCCGTGCAACACCGCACATGATACCTAGAACCTCCTTTTCGTTTTTTTGTCTCCAAGTCGAGTAACGCCCAAGTTGCAGCTGCGCACGCCTACACAAAAGGAATCTAAGCCGTGGCTTCTTTACGGCGTCACAGAGGGTTATACCGCGAGCGCTGCGATGTAGCTATGATACCAAACCTGCTGCCGAGGCTACGGGCGGCGTACAGTGATGCTTTCCATTATGCCGATGACGGGCTGGGATAGTTCTTTTCTTAGCATTTTGGTGAGTGCGTGGTCGCTGTAGCATGCGACGTTGGGGTTGCAGAGGAGAATGCGGATTTGGCGCGGTGAAGGGGTGCCAGTTACGGATGGCATTCCTGCCGTGTGAGTGCCATTTGTCGAGGTGTTCTTCTTACTGTCCGGTGCTGTGAGTCTGGGTGGCTCGATTACGCCGGTTTGTGAAGTCAAGATGCCATAATGTTCCGTTCGTCGATGTCTGGCGGAATCAGATGTTCGTGTTTTCGCCAGACTCGCACCAATCGAGGTCACAATCTGCAATGATTACTTCGTCTTCCTCTGTCTGGCTCTCGACTATGATCTTTCCATCAGGTCCAACAATTGTCGAACCACCTGCACGGTCATACTTCCCATTGTACAAACTAAATCGTGCCGCGCTAACCGAGAAGCAAGAGTTCGTGTACGAATGCGCCTGCATGGCCAAAATTGGGCCGGAAGATGGCATCAGCATTTGCTTGCCGTAGTAGGTTTGAATCCGTGCTCCATATGTGCGGCGTGTAACCTGGACTATTAAACCCTAACAACGCCACTTCCACCTCCTGGAGACCAAGACATCGCCATGCTTCTGCCCACCGCCTATCATCGCATATCACCATCCCGAACATTGGCTCCCCTTGGTCAATCGTGCTCTTTGTTAGATCCGGCACACGAAACAAATGGAACCCTAGATCTCTAGGCATAAAGTATCGTTTTTCCAGTTGATTGACAGGGTCGGGTTCGGGAAAGGATTCAACGCCTCCCGGTAAATATACCTTGCAGTGCTGTGATAAGATGGATCCGGACTTGGCATGGTAGTAGACGCAAGTATTGTAATACTCACTTTGATCTGTTCCTTTTCCGAAACCAATACAAATGCCTACGCCTAGCTCTTTTGCCTTTTTCGAAAATGTCCTTGGTGCTATATGCCGTGGCGACGTCGCCGTTTTGGAAAAATGATTTGCGCTCCTCTTTGTCGGCGGCTAGATAGCGAAGAAAGAGGGTTGTCAAAGTGCATTCGGGGAAGAGGACTATTTGTGCGCCTTGAGAAGCGGCGTTTTCGAGTAACGCGATAAGTCACGATAAGGTCTGTTGGCGGTCATCGCTGTGATGAACGGTGCCTAACTGTGCTGCTGCGATACGAAGCGTGCGGGTCATTGAAGCCAATTCTGTCGGAATGGTAAGAGCTAAGTTTCACGAAGAGAGTATAAGATCTAAAGAGTATTTGTCAAGATCAAAGTGAACAATCTATGCATATGAGGCTTATCGAGGGTTAGATAAAGCGGGGATGTTGTATGCTCGGGGATAAGTGCGGGGAAGGTTTGTTTCCGCTTCTTGTTCACTTGCTGCTTGCTCTAAAGTCATGACACCCTAGTATGTTACCAGTTATACCTTGTATTTTCATTCTCTTGATTATCTATGCAATAGCGAAATTAGCTGATCTGACAATACTGAGCAACGTATCTATTCTGAACAATAAGCTGCATATTTAGCACCTGTCTGCGAGACATTCTATGTATACTTGTAAGTACTGCCTAACACCTATATAGTCTTCCTAATTGAGCTTAGTTGTTGAACGATTCACGGGATTTATTGAGTAGCTCGGCCGCAAATAGTAGTTTTGCTAACTTATATGGTTATCTCCCCGGTTTATCTGCCAGCTATATTTGTAAATTTTACTTCTCATCCATACCAATAGTGAAAGTCATTAATGGAAAATTTAATCATTTTCAATACTAGTCTGGTAGCAAATTCATGCCTTTACGTCTCGACCGACCTGCTCCTGTGAGCTGATCTTTTTCAACCATGGCGCTTTCAGCATCTGATTCTACAGGCCCGCCCCTATCAACATATTTCTACTTGATGAATTCAATAGTAACAGTATAGAATACAACCTCTAGTCAGCGCATCCAAAGAATGTAGCAGCGAAGAAAGCCATGGCATCCCTGTACACGCGTCCGAGAAAACTAAGGTAAAAAATCCCCACACATCCTCCATATTAGACGACTACCCCGAAGGGAACAACGTTGACTGCAAGTATTTTAAAGTCCGAATGTTCTTCTCAGTTGATACAGGGTTGTTTGGATCATGAATTTATTTCATAAGTATAAATACCTGATTCATGTCTGCAACTGGGTGGAATTCCTTGTTCCCGTACGCATAAAGTGTTTTTTGTCGATACCTGTGGCTTTGCCATTAAATTGCATCTATATCATCTCCAACTCAGTATATCTACCACTCTCCATCTCATTCTTTTTTTCTCTCGCAATTTGCGATCCGGAGACGCAGACTTGAGGATCAATTAATGACGTCATTAGGGCAGAACATTACTGCTTCTACTAGCTAAACAGCTACCACATCAAGCTAGTGAAATCCAATCAACCTCCAGCTACCAAACCCCGTTACTTGCTGCCGCAGTCTCTTTCTTCTGCGAGGAGACATTCAGTCAAGCAATTCCCCAAGTGAAAAAGATGCAGCATATTTTTACGCTTTCCGGAAGTATACGCAAGCCATCTGGATGGGGCTGTGATCGACCGGGGAAGAAGATGCTGCACAGGGGGCCGGAACAAGACCATCCTATGATAGTTCCCCACGTTTGTGTTGGGCCTTAGTCCGGCATGCTTACTACCAGAACTGCTTAAACAAAGTATAGCTAATGATGACTGGAAATGGGGAAAGTTGTCGTTGAAGCTATACGCGTCATGGTAAGTTGCTCCACCAGGTTTGCAGAACGCGCTGGCAAGTCGGAAGCTGTAGATATTGCCCCGGGCCTCAAACCCAAATTTAATGCTGAAAATGTAAAAGATAGCCAATAGGCCCTTCTGGCACTCATGCTGGTTCGTCGAATAACAATAATACTGTTTCAAGAATGGCGGTGTCGCCTTGTTTTCCTGTCTGTGCCCTAGCCTCTCAGCCGCGGCGGCGGGCTGGGCAAAAAAAAAAGGTCGCGAGTCGTGGCGGGCGGTTGTCCCCGCCAACACAGACGTGCAGCTTCCCCAAGCTCCCCGTCTCCATTCTCCATCTCTCCACACCCAACTACTTCAACCTCAATTATAACTACGCGTTTTGCTTGTATCTCTTGAGAGTCTTTGTTTTTTTGCTGAGCTTTCTTTTCATATTTGCAATCCGGCATCATGCCTTCCAACCACCATGGGCACGATAGCTCGCACAACGTGTCGCGCGTGCTGTACGATCACCATCGTGGTAACAATGGCAGGCAGTCTGAATCTGTGCCGCTGCTAGGAGCCGTGCACAGCATTATCCCTGAGCACATCCATCCGGATGGTGAGAGTGGACGCCGGGGCTTCCATTTGTCTCATTTCATCAACGTCGCATGGCGGTCTGGCAGCAATGCTGCAAAGTACACCAACCTGCTTTGGCCCTTTGTCATTGTCGCCATTGTCCTGCACTTTGCGGCGCCGGGCCTGCCTCTTGCTGTCTTCGCAACTAGCTACATTGCCATGGTACCCGCAGCTAACCTTCTTGGCTTCGCGGGTCAGGAATTCGCACGGAAGATGCCAAAGGTATCTGGTATCCTGATCGAGACGGCATTTGGCTCCATTGTTGAAATCATCCTGTTTATCATCCTTATTGCGAAACATAACTCGGAGCATGGCTCGTCGGAGCACGGAAACCTTATTCCTGTTATTCAGGCTGCCATTCTGGGCTCCATTCTTACCAACTTGCTGCTCTGCCTTGGACTGTGAGTATCCCCCTCCCACCCGCCAGCTATAAAACATGGTGCTGATATTGTACAAAATAGCTGCTTCTTTGTCGGAGGTTTGAGACAAGCCAGCCAAAAGTTCCATGCTGCTATTAGTGAAGTTGGTAGCGGTCTTTTGCTGGTCGCCGGTTTTGGACTTCTCATCCCTAGCGCCTACTACTCTGCGCTCAAGGGCTCAGCCGTGGAAAAAGCATCAAAGCACCATGAGTTTACCGAGAAGATCCTGCAGCACAACGTCCTCAAGATCAGTCAGGTGACGTCAATTCTCCTCATCGTCGCTTTCTTCATGTAAATTGCCAAGCCACGGTATATGGTCTCGTGCTAACATGTGCAAGCTTCATCTTCTACAATGCTCGCTCGCAGCACTCCATCTTCGATGAAGTTCTCGAAGCTGACGAGCACCGTGATCTGGACCACCATGAAGACGTTGCCAAGCCCAAGTTCACAATGACGGAATGTCTCGTCGCCATTACCGTTTCCCTGGCCATTGTCACCCTTCTCGCCGTCTTCCTCGTCGAGCGCATCGAAGACGTTGTCGAGTCTGGTGTTCCCGATCAGTTCCTTGGTCTGATTTTGCTTCCCCTGGTTGAAAAGGCAGCAGAGCATCTTACTGCAATTGATGAGGCGTGGGATGGACAGATTGTATGTTGCAGTTTTTTTTCTCTTCTTCACCAATTCCGAGATGCATTGTGTGCTGACTGCAAAATAGAACTTCGCTCTCTTCCACTGCATCGGACCCTCGATCCAAACGGCTCTTTTCAATGCCCCACTCGTTGTCATTGTAGGCTGGTTCATGGGCAAGGAGATGGATCTCAACTTTGAGATCTTCATGATTGTCCTGCTCGTCTTGTCCATTGTTGTGGTTGGAAACTTCCTCCGTGACGGCGAGTCAAATTACCTCGAGGGCGCCATGTTGATTGTAAGTTTTATATTTTCTTCTTTGCTTCCATGTTGAAATTGTCCTTTTGCTAATGTCAATGCTTGAACAGATTGTCTACATCATTGTGGCTGTGGCAGCGTGGTACTACCCCAACCCTGACGTTGCTACTTCGAATGGGATACAGTACTAGCCATACCCATGGTTTGCTCACTCACGCCTTGGATGAAAATTGCCGAGAATACGTCCCTCTGTCACGATCAAACGCTGAACGAATATGCCTGATGAAGAAGGCGGTGCAAGTTGAAAAGGGGCTAACCTTAACTGAATGACGAAATGAACTGCGTTTGTTGCATTTGGAACAACCAATCACGATGCAAAACGCCATTTGGAACAATATGCGGTTGTTGATTTCATTTCATGATTACGTACATAGCCTAACCTAGCCATGATGAATATACTCATATATATATAAACACATCCCCCCCTTTTTTTCCATGTCTCAAGGATTTCCACCTCATCAAAAGAAGAATTACATTTACTTGTCTACACCAGCGAGCTTGAGCAGCTTGGGGAAATCAGGCGTACCGAATCCGGTAACAGGATCCCAGCCCTTGGTAACGGGGAAACCCTGAACGTTGCATCCGTAGCTAAATCCCTTCTGGACGTCGGTAAGGCCCTTGTATCCCTTCTTGTACAGCCAGGGGTTCAAGAAGCCAAGCGCGGGCTTGCCAGAGGCAATCAGGGCGTCGTTGACGAGCGAAAAGATACCAGAGGTCAAGGGGCAAGAAGCCGAAGTACCGGAAATGGTGCCCTCGGTGCCGTTCCAGAAGTAGGCAAAGTAGAGACCCTGGGCAGAGAGATCTGGGTATCCGCGACCAGTCTTGTTGTACAGGCCCTCGTATGTGTTGCCGAGGCTCTTGACATACTTGGGTACAACGCCATCTTGGTATGAGGGGCGGGCAAAGTAGTTGCTGAAGCCAGCGCCGCTAGAGTAGAGGTCACGGAAACCGGCAGATGTGTTGCGCGAAGGGCGGTATGCGCTCTCCTCTGGCTCAAAGTTCATGGTTGCGCCAACAGCAGTGACATAGGGGCAGGAAGCAGGGAACGAAGGCAAGAATTGGGTCGTGTTCTTGCCGTCGTTGGTGAAGCATGTGTTTGTGCCGCCGACACCGTGGTCACCCGAGGAGAAGAAGAGAGTTGTTCCTCGTGCACCGACTTGGGCGAACTGGCGGCATACACGCTCGGCATAGGAGCGGGGGATAGTTTGCTCGTCATCACCATAAGAAGTGGAAATGACGCGGGGAATCGAGCGTTGGTTCAGGAGCCAGTTGACCCAGACAAGGTAGGGCTCGTTGGTGTTTGTTGGCGTGTTGATGTCTGGGTTGAAAGGAGGCGAGCCACCGGTTGAGAACGAGGTAATGGGCGTCTTGTAGCTTATTCCAGCAATGGCTTGTATGTCCAAGTTGGCTTCCCTGCTGATACCAGCGGCGGACTGGTTGGCTGTCAAGGGACCATCTTGGGCAGGGCCGTTGTCAATGGTGATTGCCTTGAAACCATAGGCTGATGAAACAGCCGCAGGCTGATATTTTTCCAAGAACAGCTTGGCGTCTGGACGGATAGGAATCTCGCCAAGGTAGTTGGTGAAGCCAATGCTGTTCTTGTCGCTAGCCTTGGTCTGATACCACTTGGTCTTGTAAAGAGTTTGAAAGCACTCCGGTGTGACAGAGGTCACGTTGCAGACAGCAGAGATGGAAGCGTCCGAGGGTGTTTTGTAGCTCTCAGGCACTTCGGCAACCTCGTTGATATAGGTCGCCTCGTTAGCCGCACCACGGAAGAAAGAGGTAGTCGGCTGAACGGTATCAATGTGATCATGCAAGTGACGCGGCAGAGACCATGAGGTGGTACGTGCGACAATTGAGCCATCCTTGTGCTTGTACGTGTGGTACTCGGTATCAAGCAAGCTTTCGACCATCTCAATGGGCAGATGGACGATGATCCAGTCCTTGGCGGAGCTGTAAGCCATGTTGTCAGTGCTGACGCCGTTCTCGCGAAGCCACTCGTGAACCAAGTCATAGGTTTCCGAGCTAGGTGCAACGAGCTTGTCCACCTCATCGGCGCTGAGGTGGTGGCCATAACGCGCATGGTCGGGGTCCGAAACTATGACATGTGAGCTTATTGAATGGGCCGGGTTTCCAAATGGTGGGTCATGACAAACGTACCCTCTTGGAGATGGCGGTCAAGCTCGTCAAATTGACCTTGCTTAAGACCGATCTGCAGTTGAATCGTCTTTCCACCGTGTGCACGATCAAGCCTGGTCCATCCTCGGGGCGAAGGGTGTGTTTCCTTGACAAGATAAGGGGAGCGAGCCTGGACCGGAGAGGCAAAAGCCTCGTGGGCGGCGGCAGCAGTCAAGAGAACAGAGGCAAAGATGTGCATTTTGGGCAAGACTGGTGGAGGGACGTGTCGAAGACAAAGAAGCAGCACACGCGCACATCTAGAGACACGAGGGGACTTGAGGGCTATTTAAGCCTCGTCAAGAAATGACTAGAGAAGCACCATGGTGGTGGTTGGAGGCTACTTCGAAACGGCAGGGTAACTAGGCGAATGTTCGGTGCATGCCGATCGCGTGCTGTGGCTACGGACATTGGCTACGTTCTTGTCGTGTAGAGGCAAATAGACTGGGCCATGCTTGCGTGATTCCAGGGTGTTGCAGCCGCACTGCGACGAATCGGGCAGGTCTGGTCAACGGAGAGTCTGGATTTGCTGCGGTACAGATGAGTGGGACATGACGAAGTGGTTCAAAGTACGGAAGAGGTTGATGTGCCTGCAGCCGTTTAGTTGTGGACACGGAGGCGCTAGTTCTGTAAAGGGAAGCTGGGAAGCCATGACCTGAGGCCTTGCTGATAGTCAAGCACAACAAGCCACTAGATTGCCGAGCTTGGGCTGCTCTTGGGGTGCTTAATTTGCTCTTGGAAGGTGAATGGGTCCTTGGCTGTGTCTTCCAGCTCGTCGGCGGCCAAATTGCCACTGACGAGCTGAGCGGCCTTTTTTTTTCTTGCAGACACGCGACATGGTTATAGTAGCGGGCATGTTGGATTCAATCTTAATGGGCTCGGTCCGACTGGCGATTGGTTTCGAGTCCTGTGCCCCATCCTGATAGTGGGAGAAGACCAGACTCATCAGTAACCCGAGTACCAGGAGTGTTGGACTGCTGGATCATGTATCTATAGATGAATTACATGGTTCAACTGCCTGTCCAGGCCAAGTGGATTCGAGACGAGAAGCACGTGCCATGGATGGCGCTTCACCCCCGCCATCTCCATCGTCCTATCTCGCCTGCATACATATGTAGCTATGTTCCATCTTATTAGATATATCCGAATTAGGTAATCAGTAAGGGTTGTAGTTTGCGTTGGTTTAAGATGGCTCGATGTGTTTAGTGCTTACCTCACCTTCAAGTCCCCTACTACCTCTTACAGTCTGGATTAGTACCTCGTCTCCTCACCTAGTGCCATTACACACCAACAGCGCACTGTTTTCCATCATCTACTGCACACATGTCGAGGGCGGGATATTTTGAAATCATTAATTAAAGAATCAGGTGGCCCCAATATTTGCTCTTAAACACACATGTCGACTTGCAATCAAAACAGACCCTACTCCAGAAGCCCGACATGTCCCACAATGGAGACGGTGACGCGACAAGAAACACAACAGCGACCTCACATGTACTTGTTCTAGTAGACGTGTGCAACCACTTCAGGTCACACACTCGCCCATGCACGCCATACAATAGACCTACACTCACACAGCCAGTCCTATCTAGCCGTCTAGCAGTTGCAGCCGGCAGGGCCCTGTGTCTGGTTGGCCTCTGGCCTCAGGTTGACGCCCGGTCGTTGCTGGCCTGGCCTCAGGTTTCGTGGGCCGGCCTGGTCAATGGGCAGCTTCTTGGCAATGGCTGTGAAGAGTTCCTTTACGTTCTCGCTCGTCTTGGCAGACGTCTCGAAGAACAGCAGGCCGGCCTCGCGGGCATATTGTTCGGCATCAGCCGTCGAGATGGCGCGCTTGTCGGACGACTCGGTCACCAAGTCGAGCTTGTTTCCAGCCAGGGCAATGATGATGTTTTCGTTTGCTTGGCGTTGCAGTTCCTTGACCCAGGCCTTTGCCTTGTCCAGAGATGCCTGGCGCGTATCAGTACCTAGTGCATGATGAAAGCGTAGAGATACCTACAGCTTGTGTGATGTCGTAGACGACTACGGCGCAGTTTGCGTTTCGGTAGTACATGGGGGCAAGCGACTTGTACCGCTCCTGGCCAGCAGTATCCCAAATCTCAAACTTGACTGTTGTGTTTTCATCGAGGGCGATGGTCTGGGTGAGGAAGGCGGCGCCGATGGTCGACTCCCGGTAGTCGTCGAATTGGTCCTGCAACAGTCAGCGGCGAGGGCCAGTGGGCTTCCAGCTGTGCATGCTTACTTTGACAAAGCGCAATACTAGAGACGACTGTGACGGGTTAGCTCTGGTACATGTTCCCATGGCACTCATGGAAGAGAGATAGGCTAGCGCACCTTTCCGACAGCCGATTCACCTGCACACTTGTCAGTCGGGGCACAGAAGACGGCACACATGCACTCCTACCTAACAGCACGAGCTTGAACTGTGCGAATCTGGAGCCTCCGGGTCGTTGGCCCTGCTGCATCCTGCCTGCCGACATGTTGGCGAGAGTGACGCGGCGCTATCAGGCGGCGATGGTAGTTGGTGATGGTTGTGTAGGCGATGAGCGGGGACGGGAAGAGGGCGGGGTAGATTCGCGAGGGCCAGATGGGTGTGGTTAAGGGGAGAGTGTAGTGAGGGAGGCAGACGAGGGTGTGGATGTGGTGGTGGGAGTGGTTGTTGCTGTGACGAAGTCGTCGTGGTTCCGTCTGGGTGCCAGGTGCCAGGTGCTTGGCTTTAGCGCACGAGTCGGACCCTGGCGCCGCAGTGGCCGCCATGACGAAACGCTGGGCCCCGTATGGCCTGCGCGAGACAGTAATTCCTACCTACAACGTATGCTCTACGACTACACACTACACCCTGGGTAGCGCCAAACACCCAGCCATAGTAATTCTCCTTCACCACCACACGCCCACGACGGGAACACCCGCACCCCCTTGTCGACCCAGAGCCCGGAGCTCCCCCCTTCTCCTCTGCCTCCACTAATCAACCGCCCACCATGAGCGTCGCCCTCCCCTACCGCGATATCAACGTGCACTCGTCGCCCTCGCACTATGCCTTCTCATCTCCCTCGTCCCCCTCGGCGCCCACACTCGTCGTCGACCGCCCATCGGGCGACATGCGCCTGCATGATGGCAAGTTGCTGGGTTCTAAACGTGTCTCGAGCATCGCCGGCATCCTGGGCATGATCAAGCTGCGCCTCGACAAGTACATCATTGTCATCACAAAGGCAGAGCCCGTTGGTCGTATAAAAGGCCACATGGTCTACCGCATTGTTTCCACCGAGTTCCTGTCCCTGCGCGAGAAGCCTCTGCACGACGTTGATGAGGACAACTATCTCAATCTGCTCAAGACGCTCCTCAAGACATCCCCACTGTACTTTTCCTACTCGTTCGACATCACAAACACCTTCCAGCGCCAGGCCCACCTCGACCCCTCGACGCCCCTCTGGAAGCGCGCCGACGACCGCTTCTACTGGAACCGCTTCGTCTCCAGCGACCTCATTGACTTTCGCGGCGGCCTGAGTGGCGGATATGGAAGGCACTCGGCCGGCCACCAGCCCGGCGCAGACCCCTACATCCTGCCCGTCATGTATGGCATGCTAGAGATTAAGAGGACATCTATCAAGGGTACTCCTCTCACCTTCATTCTCATTACCCGCCGGTCCCGCCTCAAGGCCGGCACAAGATACTTTTCGCGCGGCATCGACGAGAACGGCAATGTATCCAACTTCAATGAGACGGAACAAATCATTATACTCAACGACAATGCTTCGGGTGGGCCTGGCGGCTTCGGCTCAACCCAGAATGGAACAGCGGGTGGCAATGCTGGCAAGGAGACACAGGTTCTCGCCTATGTGCAGACAAGAGGAAGTGTGCCCGTCTACTGGGCTGAGATCAACACGCTCAAGTACACACCCAAGCTGCAGGTCCGCGGCATTGAGAGCGCGCTGCCAGCGGCAAAGAAGCACTTTGCTGAGCAGATCCGCCTCTACGGCGACAACTGGATGGTCAACCTGGTTAACCAAAAGGGCCGCGAGCAGCGCGTCAAGGAGGCATACGAGCAAATGGTCCAGATGCTGCACACGTCCCCTGCTGAAAACGTCGAGGGGGATCGCATTACCCCTGAAAAGTTCCACATTATTGATCCGGCGCGGGCCCAAACGGTATACGACCGCCTGCACTACATCTACTTTGACTTTCACAACGAAACAAAGGGCCTGCGATGGGACCGGGCCAAGCTGCTGCTGAACCAGCTGGAGCCGCACATTGTCAAGCATGGCTACTTTTGCGGCGTCGACATGCCCGGTGATGCAGGTGGTGTCGAGGTCCGCCGCCACCAGACGGCCGTGGTGCGAACAAACTGCATGGACTGTCTGGACCGCACAAACGTGGTGCAGAGCATGCTGGGTCGCTTTGTCCTCTCGCGCATGCTCATTGACTTGGGCATAATGCGCGAGGGCGAGAGCGCAGAGGAAGACGCTGCGTTCGAGCATCTTTTCCGCAACATCTGGGCTGACAATGCCGACGTCGTGTCCAAATCCTACTCTGGCACCGGTGCCCTTAAGACAGACTTTACGCGCCTGGGTGTGCGTACCAAGCAGGGTGCGCTGCAGGATCTCAACAACTCGATTACGCGGTACTGCCTGAACAATTTCAGCGACGGGCCTCGCCAGGATGCTTTTGATTTGTTCCTGGGTAATTATCTTCCCAGCGACTCGGGCATGGGCGGGCAGCTCCTGTTTGCCGACCGTCGGCCCTTGTTTATCCAGTCGATACCGTACATTCTCGCCGCGAGCATCTTCTTGATCCTCGTCAGCACTTTCACTCGACGCGCACCTGATGCGGCAATGTGGCCAATCCGTCTTTTGCTGCTGCTATCGCTTGTTACAGCTGCGGCGTGTTTCAACTTTATCTGGGCCAACGGTACTCTTTATGTAAGTTTTTTTTGTCACTCAACTATTTCCGACCTTTTTTTTTTCTCTACTTGTTTCTTTGTTTTGTTCAAGTACACATTCCTAACGTACAATTCAGGTCAACTGGCCCAAACTCAACCGCCAACCCCCGCAAATCGAGGCTTTCCAGGATACGCTGGCCAAAGTGTCGCAGAGCAGCATGGTGGGACCACTTGTGGGTACAAAGCATGAGAGGGGCAAGAGCGACGCGAGGTTATTGGGATTGGAAGAGGGAAAGAAGAGGATCGAGTAGTCTTGTTGTTGTTGTTGTTGTTGTCCCATTGACTGTTTGCTTGGCATCCAGTCGAGTGTGTCGTGTCTTCTTCTTATAAATCTTTATTTTCCTTAGGTTCAAGAGCTTAGATGGGTAGATCGGAAGGGAAAAGGCTTCTTCTTTTCTTCTTTTCTTCTTTCTTTCTTTCTTTCTCTTTCGCTCACTTACTCGCACTCTTGTAATTCCAACCGTGTAGGTCTGCTGTATAGATGTTAATATTTTTTTTCTTCGTCTTTCTTTCTTTTTCTTGATAGTAATTCTCAGGGTCCTGAGGGTGTGGTGGGGCGGTGCACGGCCGAATAAATATATTTATACATCTAACAAATCAACCATCAGAAGAAGACAGTGAATTAGTGTTTGTAAGGACAGATGCAATTGTGGATGTTTTGAGAACGTAAGAAACCTTTTCTTCTTAGCCAATTCTACTATACTCTTGCATATACTGGCTCCATTAGAACAAAAGAAAGAAAAAGAGGGAGACGAAAAAGAGAGACAGGGTATCGTTCATTACCAGTTTGAAATCCTTTACGCCAAAACCAATCATGAGTATCGTCATTATCATTAGAAGGAAAGACTGAAAAACAAAAGAAGAGAAAGAAAGGTCATATCTCGTCATTACAAAGAAGATAAACCACCCGGAATCAACAACTCGCCCTGACAGCCGACAAGACGACAAGGTCAAACTCCTCGTCCACCCGCTCCTCACCGTGATAGTGTTTGTTCCGTGGTCTATCCTTGCTCTCAGGGCTACATCTTGCAACGAACAAGTCCCAGCCGTCGTAGTCGCCTTGGATCAGTCTTGTGCGTAGCTGCTCGAAATGGGATTTGGCTTTTGTGGCGTGCGAGAGGAAGAGGGAAATTTGTTTTTCTCCACCAACTAGCAAGGGGGCCGATGGTCGGGGTGATTTTGTGGAGGAGGGGGGCGATGAGGACGAAGAAGAGGTAGACGAAGAAGAAGAAGTCGAAGACGCTGATGGATTGGCATTGCAGTCATCAAGTTCGGGTAGGATCCACAACTCCGATTCAGATGTGGTGGTTTCGCAGGGCGGGGTGAGGTTCAGACAAACGCTTTGGTGCATGTTGTCCATGTCGGCTGCATGGCTGGGTGAACTGGGTTGGTGGGAAAGCCAGGGCTGTATCGCGCTGTTGTTGGTGATATCGTTATCGATGTCGCCGTCGCCGTCGTCGTCGTTGGGACTTTGAATTTCGTTCTGTCCGCTGAGAGTGGAATCGACAAGTGTACTAGAAGCCGGCTCGCTGGATGCTTTTGAGGCGAAGTGTGGGGATGGGGCACGCGATCGCTGAGGCGGCGTGGTGTGTGATGCGCATGATGGGAAACTGCCATATATGGCGTGACTAAGGTCGTAGCGGAACTCTGTATCGTCACGCGCATGTGCGCTGCGGGCCGGGCCGCTTTTCATAATTGAGACGAGCGTGTATAAGAATGATTCTTGCACAGAGTTGTGCAGCTGGTGAGGACAAACTCTCAAGGTGAGGGTAAGACGGGTCGAGGATTATGTGATGTTTGAACAGGATCAAGTCGCAGCCAAGAAAAGCCACGAGGAAATTTTTGTGAACTGGCAAACAAGTGGGGCCTCGTCTGCTGTTTCAAGGCAAGTTTGCGTGGACGGGATGATGCATGTGGGAGTGGAATAGGTGTGGGTGGGCTGGTAGGCGGGAAAGCGGGTGCTTGTGGGCTTGTGATGAAGGTGATCTGATGACGTTGCAAGGTGGTGACGCGAAGGCTGTGCTCACTCGCCGAGTTTCAGATTGGGGGCGAAGGGCTGACAGTGATAGTGAGAGGTGAAAGGAGAGATAGGATGAAAGACAGGGAAGATGGAGAAGAAGAAGGAAAGGAGACGAAGGGGGAGGTTAGCATATATCAAACGTGTGGTGTGCACCATGGACAGCAGCAGTAGCAGCACGAGCATGGCAGCTGGACGGACATGCCGTAGTGTTTGCATGGGCTCACGCGAAGGTGGCACCACAAATACGGCGTTTGTCAGCAGCGTCCAAAGACGAGGCGAGATAATGTTGTGGTGGTGGTGATGATATCGGTTATAGTGTAGTGGCAGTGACGGTGGAAGTGATGATGAGGAGAGGAGAGGAGAGGAATGGCTGCCCGTGTCCGTGCGCCCTGACGTGTGTCGTCGGCAGAAGCTCCAAATCTTCGCAGGCCGGCTTTGGCACTGGCTCAACGACCATCACCCGCCCATCAACATCCCCATCCCCGCCATCCGGAGGCAGCCCACCATGCTGCGCGCCTCCATTCTTCGGGCCCGTCCAGCTGCCAGGCCATTGGCTTGCCACGCCCGCCCGCAATGGCATGTCGCCAGACGCTTCTACGCCGATGATAAGAAGAGTCTGGGCGAGACGACCGTCCCCAATCCGGCACCCACCACGGAGCCTTCACTGAGCCCATCCAGTCCCGCCAACGACACAAACACCATCCCTCCTTCGGACGTGCCAAAACCCCCGCCTGCTCCAGACAGCTCCATCGCCGCTGCAGGCGCATCGCGTGATGCTCCCACCACCGCCCCCAAGACGACTCCCCCCACGGGGCCAGGCACGGCCAGTGTGGCACCGGACCCAGTCCAGCCAAAACCAAAGAAGAAGAAGAGGCGCTTTCTCCGTGGCTTCCTCCTCCGCCTTGCCATCCTCTCGGGTCTAGGATACGCTGGCGGTGTCTACTACTCTCTCGTCTCGGACAACTTCCACGACTTCTTCACAGAGTACGTTCCCTACGGAGAGGATGCCGTCGCCTACTTTGAGGAGCGCGAGTTTAGGAAGCGTTTCCCCGGCCGTGCTGGCGACCCCCGGCTGCACCCCCAGATCTCGGGAGAGAACAAGGTCACCATTCCTGGAAACAGCGGCCTGACTGCCCGCCCGGTCAAGGAGAACAGCAGCGATCTCGCTACTACAGGCCCGCATCTGAGTGCCGTTGCCGACAACAACAAGGTGGACAAGGTCGAGTCGAGCGGACAGCAGCCCAAGGTCTCGTCTCAGGAAAAGAAGCCAGAGCCCAAGCAAGAAGCCCCTTCCAAGGCTATTGCCCCGCTTGACCACCTTAATGTCCCCGCTGCCACTGAGCCCGTTGTCCAGGATGTCGTCAAGATTGTTAATGACATCATCACCGTTGTCAACGCAGACGAGTCCAACGGTGGAAAGTACAACTCGACCCTCGACAAGGCCAAGGGCGACCTTGCCAAGGTAGTTGCCGATATCAACTTGATGAAAGCAAACCTCGAAAAGGAGTCCGAGGACAAGGTCAAGGCGGCTCACGCCGAATTCGAGCAGGCCGCCAAGGAACTCGTACAGCGCCTCGACCACCAAATGCAGGCCCAGGAAGCTCAGTTCAAGGAGGAATTCGAAAACGAGCGCGAACGTCTATCGCAGGGCTACAAGGAGAGGCTGCAGTCTGAGCTGCAAGTAGCCCAAAAGGTCTACGAGCAGAAGCTTAAGAACCAACTTCTCGAGCAGAGCATCAGCATGCAAAAGGCTTTCACTGCCACTGTCAAGGAGCGTGTTGAGGCTGAGCGCGAAGGCCGCCTAGGCAAGCTTAACGAGCTTTCGTCTTCGGTGCACGAGTTGGAGAAGCTGACGGCCGAGTGGAACAGCGTCATTGACGCCAACCTCAAGACACAACATCTTGTCGTTGCTGTCGAGGCTGTAAGGTCTGCACTCGAGTCTCAGATCGTCCCCAAGCCATTTGTCACTGAGCTGGCCGCTCTCAAGGAAATCGCTGAGGATGACCCCGTTGTCAGCGCTGCCATTGCCAGCATCAACCCCGCCGCCTACCAACGCGGCATTCCCAGTTCCGCTCTCCTGATTGACCGCTTCCGCCGTGTTGCCGCTGAAGTCAGGAAAGCTGCTCTTCTGCCCGAAGACGCAGGTGTCGCTTCTCACCTCGCCTCGCTCGCCATGTCCAAGGTTCTGTTTAAGAAGTCTGGTCTCGCCGTTGGTGGCGACGTCGAAGCTACCCTCGCACGCACAGAGGTTCTCCTTGAAGAGGGCGACCTAGATGCTGCTGCACGAGAAATGAACAGTCTACAAGGATGGGCAAAGGTACTAAGCAAAGACTGGTTGGCAGAATGCAGAAGAGTCCTCGAGGTCAAGCAGGCCTTGGACGTTATTGCCACTGAGGCTCGCCTGAACAGTCTGCTTATTGACTAAAAGGATCTTCTTCTTTCTGTTATTCCCAGCCCTGTTGATGTGTATATCCCCTAGATTTAGCCATAGACTAGGCGATGTCGGGTCTTTTTTGTAAGCAGTCTTGATAGCCAGTACTATAACTTGTACCAGTAGCTTAAACAAAACTTGTTCAATGTTCATATGCAGTGTGTGTGTGAACTGGATGTTGATTTCTCGTGTTCAAATGCGATATGATACAATGCCCGCTTCCGATCATGAATTACAAAATTCAAGGTAAGTGAGGAAATTTAACAGAAGTTTACTAGAGTACTTTGGTATCTTTATATTTGCTAACAAATGCAGCTTACATAGTAGAGGCAATCCCGTCCATATATACATAGGAATATACCATTCATCAACATATTCTGACAAAACCAACTTATATACGTCGGAAGCATTCATACTTACATAAAATTCCACCACATACTACCCGGTCCCCTCAAGCCAGGGCACTCTCAACAAGCCACGTGATATCGTCGTTGAACGAGCTGACATTATCAAAGTCCTTGACACCACCATTGCTCGAAATATACCCAACATTGTTAAAATGGCGAATCCACCTCGTCGGGTACGCCCAAGTTCTAATCGAGCTACCCTTACCCGTAAGACCCGCCTGAGGACAAAATGTCGCATCTTCCTTGAACCCCTTGGATCCATCATTAGCATTGACCTGCAGCACGAAATTTGCGTGGCGGAGAAAGCTTCCAGCCGTATCCTTTGATTCGAACGCAAAGCACTCGCTGTTGGTGAAGCCAGCGCGGACAATCCAGCTCGCCTGGCGCTTGAGCAGCGCAGTGCTCGACGACGATACGACTTGGGTGTTCACTGTCGCTCCGGAGTGCGCGAGATAGCGGTCCGTGTAGCCAGATGTCGTGGCCCTGAGAGATACACTGGATCCAACAGTGTATGCGGGTCCGCTAGTCATCAATCCGCGTCCAGTGGAGTATCCAGCCGCAACAAGGTTGGCCTGGACTTCGTTTTCGATTGCGTCGCTGGGATACCCGAACGTCATTGCGCCCTCGGTGAAGGTTCCCTGTGCGCCGTTGCTGTTGTCGCCGCCGATACCGAGGATAATGGCGCCTTCTTTGCTCATGGGGTTGTAGCCCGACACACTTGGGCGCGAGCCGTTGTAGTATGTTGAGAGTCCGCCTGTGGTGGCGTCTCCGGCGCGGATGGCCCAGACGCCAGGCTTGCCCTTGACAACAGTCGTTAGGAAGCGGTTTGAGACGGATGGGTTTTGAGTGTTCTGCTTTGGGTTTGCACCGGAGAAGAGGCCGTTTTCTAGGTCAGCCATGACCCAGGGGCCGTTGCCAGCGCCGCTGCCCCACACGGTGTTGTCACCAAAGTAGATGGCTTCCATGTGGCCGTTGCCTGTTTTTTGGGTGGTCAATTGGCTGATATCAAAAATTGATGGGAGGTGATATACTTACCAGTGTCAAGGTTGTTTGTCTCAGCATTGCCATAGTCGAAGCAGCAGCCGCCATTGTAATGTGTACCGTCCAAGACGGCGTATATGCCTTGGGGCTCGTCTTTTACGGCCGAGCCTTTTACGTTGTTATTGCGGTACCCGGTTCCAGGGGAGATGAAGACGCCATATGCCTTTTTGCCGCCTAGCGAAACAGGTGCACCGATAGCACTTGCCAGATTGTCGTAACCGCCGACGTCTGGGCCCTTGAAAGCGCCTGGTGGTGCTTGTGTGAGGTGGTTTCCTTTGCCAGATTGGTCGTAGATGATGGAAATGAGACATGTCGTGTTGGCACAGAACTTGTCTTGAGCAGCTGCATTGGCGACACCGCCGGCGGACAGTGGAGCAATGTCAGTTGTGGCACCGTCTGAGCCACGCTTGACTTGGTAGAGCGGGCCACTGTATGAATTATACAGAGCACGAGTGGTGGCATGTGCAGCAATGCATGGTGTGTTGCCTTTGGCGTAAATGTCACAAGGCCCTGCATGCACCAATGAACCTGTGGCTACAAGCCCAAGCGCAACGAGAAGCGATTTTGAAGACATGGTTTTTTTTGGATATGAAGAAAAAAGACAAACCCAAGTCCTCTGTGCTCCTCTGGATCCCCACGAGCTACATTACTTCTATTTATCTATAGTGGTCTCGTGTTTCTGTAGCTATAATTACCCAGAGCATGTACCATTCTACAGTGCAACAGTGCAACTACCCACTATTTTCCCTCCAACAGAAACGCAGCGGTCACGTCACATAGGGCTAATGTCCTGTAAGATCAGCCTATTCACTACTTAGTTGCCCCTCTATTCCAGTAACAATCATGCGGGGGAACACGGTGGATGTGCATCATAGCGCCGGAATAAATAAACAAGCTTTGCCAAAAGCCGGCAAAGCGAACACAAGACTAAGCGGAGCAAAGCTTGGTAACGTGCATCGGCAGCCTGATGGCCCGATGTGCCCCAGACGAACCAGCATACCAATGACAGCCCACCCAATCACAATACACACCTTACATGTACAACACTGGCACGTGAACTGGGGGCTGCAAACGCTCTTTACTGAATTTGGGAGGCGCTCAACGTAGACTTATTGATTGTTCGTTCTAGTATACACCATCTAGCTTTGTGGAAATTCCCACCAGTCGAACCAGACCTATCCATACGTACGTATCCCTGCACCGAGGCAAAATCACTCACCAAAAAGCGAACATGTGTTTGTGGTTCGTTGGTTCTTACTTTGTTAATTTTGGTACATCGAAAAGTACCGATTTTCCTCCCGTTGAAAGTTTTTTTTTGTATTTGCAAAACTTAGTAGTAAGGACAAAGGACCGACGATTTTAGCAGAAGCAAGTAAACTTCGGGTGCCGAGAATACGAACGCCTCAAATTCTCCCAACAGATGCCATGTGACGCCATCATTTTCATGCGTTAGATGGTAAGAGAACTCAAAATGACATGTTTTTGGTAATGTTTTTAAGGAGGTGTTGTGCCGGTTTCCGCAGTTAGAACGTGGTGACGCGGATGACAGGTGAGTGCGGCCAAAATCGTCGGCGCAATGGGAGTACGTACGTGGACATAACGGAGTAGTTTCTCTTGACAACTGTCCAAGGATGTGTGTATTCTGTATTTGGTCACGTGGGTGTCATGGCCAACAAAGAGTCTAGATGGCAGTTGCCCAATAATCTTTCTCTGGTGAGTTAGGATTCCGGCTGGTTGTAGAAAATCTTGGACCTGGAGTATGTTTCCATGAGGTACGTGCCGAGGTACATGTGGGTCCATTTGTGCATCTCGTGCCTTTGCGCATTATGTGGAGGTCTCGACCGCCAACTTGGTCATGTCCCGACAGTACAATGCACATATTGGCTAGACTGCCGCCATTCTTTCGGAACGAATACCGCTTTCATTGCGCCTCCTACGGCTTGGAATCGGACCGTTATATGCGATCAATTATTATTATTATTATTATTCCATTATAGTCCTGTATCAGCCGTTGGCTATGTAGGACTTTGGCCAAAGGCCGTTCTATCTAACTAGTTACAA